CATCCCGCGGGCTCCGCAGCCCCGCAGCCCCCGCAGCCCCCGGGCCCCGCATCCCCCGGCCGCCTCCTCGGGGGCAGCTCTGACACGGGCAGAGAGCGACAGGACGCGGGGGAAACGTCTTTGAACGGAAAGAAGGGAGATTTGGATCAGTTTTGGGAGGAGGTTCCTCCCTGTGAGGGTGGGGAGGCCCTGGCACAGGTTGCCCAGAGAAGCTGTGGCTGCCCCATCCCTGGAAGTGTCCAAGGCCAGGTTGGATGGGGCTTGGAGCAACCTGGGCTAGTGGAAGGTGTCCCTGCCCACGGCGGGATGATTTTTACTGTCCCTTCCAACCCAAGCCATCCCACGATCCTGTGATTTTCCTCACTGTGAAAACAGAAGGATGTGCAGGTCTGATTTGCAGGGCAGAGGCTGTGAAGGGTATCACAGGTGCCAGGGGGAACATATTTACTTACAGACTCACACTTTTGCAGATGACACACTCATTTTAATACCCGGGATTTATGGAGCAGGCACGCCTGGCACTGCAGGCACCTGCCACGCTCAGCACACGGGGACAGCAGGAGGCAGGGCAGGAATGGCTCCCTCAAAGCAGCTGGAGGAGGAGAGCAGATACCAGAGAAAACGGGGTGGGTTTGTCTTCAGCCAAAGCGTGGTTGTGGCCTCAGGGGAGGCAGCAGGCAATGAACGAGTGCCCCAGGCCAGGGACAGAGCAGAGGAGGGCAAGGCAATAATCAGGGAAAGGAGAAACTGGGGAGGACGCAGACCCCTGCAAACTGTACATGATGGGGAGACCATCCCTAACACAGCACCAGGCACACGGGAGGCTGTGACACAGAGCCAGGCTCCAACCAAACCCTGTCTCCACTCTGACATCCAGGAACAGCTGAATCTGGAAAGAGGGTGGATTTTCCTTGTCTTTGTGCACAATATGCCCAGGCAAAACCACTTGAGAATTCCCCCTGACAGTCCTGGGAGCCAGGGTGTAGGTGAGCACACTCCCATCCACCCTCTGCCAACACACACCTGCAGCAGCAATGTCATCTCAGTGCCCTCCTTTCTGCCTGCAACGGTCTGCCTGGTACCAGGGAGGGTTTCCATCCCAGCTCTGCTGAATTAGCAGGCACCTCATTTGCCAGCAGACGAGCCTTGCAGGTGAGGTAAGAGACGGGAACGTGGTGGAGCAGAGACGTTGTGCTTCAAGCCCTGCGAGGCGACATTTCCAGGTGTGCAGCTGTGCAAACAACCAGGACAAAGGCAGTTAATCTGGCTCCAATCCACCTCAGCAGGTCCCTCAGCAGGGATGAGGGTGCTGGGCCTCTGCAGGGGAGGGGAGGTGGCTCAAAGGCTTTGCAGCTCCCGGCAGTCGGGAGGAACAGGGGCTCAGATGCCTCGTGTGCCAAGATTCACTTCCAAAGCCGGGTGAAAGCAAGTGTTCATCATTCCCCTCTGGGACCTTTGGCTAACCAGGGCACTTACAGGGCTCCCCCTCTTCTCCCCAGCCTGCTCTGCTGTCCAGGTGTCAGCTCTGCCTGATAAAAATGCTGCACCTTGAGCAGTTCACCCTTTTGGAAAGCAGTTGTTGCGCTCACCGAGGAGCAAAAACGGGCCTGGGAGAGCTCTGAGGCACCCCCAGCCCAGCCATGGCTCAGAGGCACTAAGGGGGTGTTGGCAGGACCTTCGAGAAGCGAGTCTGTGTGGTTTGATTTGTTTCTGCTAAATATACTTTGCAGACAAAGTAAACATACTTTGTCTCGGGGATTCTGTTTGTGCAATGCAGCAGGCTGAGCTGTGCCACTGCTCTTTTGCTGCCTGTTACCTGGGGCCTCACCTCAGCAGTGAAATGGACTTTAAATCACCCCCTATCACACAAATATTAGAAAAGACTTCACCAACAAATTTTCCATTTCCAGCTTAATCGGCTTGACAGCAGTTTTACAAACTATCTGAGCTGTGATGCTTCGTGATCCTGCTTGGCTCTTTAGCTGTAAAAAAAAGTAAGTGCTAAGGAACATTTAACTAAGCCTCCAAAACTGACACAAACCCTCCAGAGCTGCCACCTGGAGTCTCAGATACTTCAGCGCTAAGAAGGGCAGATCAGACAATATTTGCAATGATGCAGCTGCCATCCAGGGAAGGGATGGTTCTTAAATCCCTTCCTCAAATTTTTTTTTAGGATTATGTAATTCCTAGGAGCATCCCATGCTCCCTGGTAATGAATGGCAGCACAGGCACAAAAAATGTTGGAAATAATGCTGAAAATTCAGCTTTTGCTCCATCCCAGCACCCTGCAGGGCTCAGGAATGTGTTTCCTGGCCCTGAGCTGGGCTAACTTTGGAACAACCTGAGACACATCAAAACAAGGAGCTGTAAAGCAGCAGCTGTGATTGATTAATCACAGTAGTGAAGCTGAAGGGTTTGATCATTTTCAAAAGCTCTTTAACATCTTATTCTCCACAGAAGGGGAGGTTACGGCAGCCACGGAACAAAGCAGAGCTCAGACTGGAGCTGATTCCTCCCTGGAAAGGCTCTGGCCGTGCTGGGCTGCCTCGGATGATCAGGACAGAGGGATGAACGTGCAGAGCCGGCGCTGGCTGGGAAGGAAACACTCTGATGATGTCTCGGGCTGGTTCTTGAGGTGTCCCCACGCCACCTGCACGGGGGTTCCCCTCCCAGCACTCCCAGCCTGGCCCTGCACACACCCTGAGCCAGCACAGGAGGCACCCCCAGCCCTGCAGCCCAGGCAGGAATTGAATTTCCCACCCAACCTCCCTGCCTAGAGGAAGCTCACCCTTCCCCCAAACACGTTATGGGAATGAATTATTTCAGATTCCTTGTATTTTTATGGGAACTCTATATTTTTTCCCTTCCATAAGAAAAAAATCCATTTCTCTCTGGTTTTCCTCTGGTGGGCAGTCATGCTGATTAATTTGCCCATTCCACCAGCTCTGCTTCCTCCCAAGGGCCAAGCCAAGCACTGCCCATGGCAAGCACATGGTCCAGTAACCATCACCCCACGGGGCTGCTCAGCAAAATCTTCTTCAACCACCAATTAAATACGGACCTATTATCTGGTCAGCAGTTGATTGACATTAATTAGGGTGTGCAGGGATCCAGGCCCCTGCAAGCAAGGCTGAAGGCACAGCCCTCGCCCAGCACAGCAGCATTTGGGGGTTCCCCTCATGGGACCCTCAGCCCTGGGGCAGCAAAGAGCCCTGAGGATGACAGAGAACCAGGCTCTGCAGGACTATTGATCTGCCCTTGTGTGAGAGCTCTTTACCCTCCTTTCCCCAGGGAGGAAGAAGAGAAACCTGCTTCTTCAAAGCCATTTTCCTAATCAGCGGCCGTGGCACAGGTCGGGGGCGAGGCAAAGGCACTGGAGGAAGGGAAACAAGCAAAGGGAAGGTAATACTTTGGTTTTTCACAGGGCAGGGGGAGGCCCAGCTGCTGTGTGTGTTCACAGCTCAGTGCCTGCACATCAGAGCTCACCAAAGGACACTGCAAAACCTGCCCAAGCACAGCAGCACCAGGGCTGGGTGTGGGTCACCTTGTCAGGTGGAGGGGGATTGCTGCAAGGAGCTGCATCTTTCACTTCAAAAATCTCCTTCCTGTCTCAGTCCAGTAAAGCAGCTGACACGTGGTGAATGCCACACTGTCCAGGGGACACCATTCCAGACCCCTGGAACTCCTGCAATCAAATGTCAGCCTGTGGATTCAGGAGTGAGTTCTGAGGAGAGGAGAAATGATGCTCCACTGTGCAATGCAGCAACATCTGGTGTTCCTCTCTGCATGAGCTGTTCCCCTTCCCTCCCTCGGGCTGTATTGTGCTCTCCAGGTTCCATTTCCTGCACTGAGGCACGGTGCCCTTTGGAATTCTCCTTTCCTGATGTTCAGCACTGAAATCAGAGTGGACAGCAGCAGGTTCTTTGCAAAGCAAAGTTTGCTGGGCGTGTTTAAAACCCTCCGTGCCTCTTCCCTGGGGTTTGTGGGCCCTGCTGCCAGCTGAAGGAGTGGCTGACCCTGGCTCCATCACACTGCTAAATATGCCCGCAGGATGTCCCTGGATAAGTTCCTTTGATTTTGTCAGTTCATCCCCAACCGCAGTTTTTAATCCTCAGGATAACAAAGGCTGATCCGCAGCCGCCTTCCAGGATTTCCGGCTCTGGAAGAGCCACGTTGGCTCTGTGCTAGAATTGCAGCACCCAGGGAGCTTAAACAAAGAGCCCCAGGCAGTCCCAGCCTGAAACACTGGGAACAATGCCACCGTTCCCAGAGAGGGGAAGATGTTTGGAATTGCAATTTCCGAGGTCACCTTTCATCATCCCGGCTCACCACAGGCACAGCACAGAGCCCCAGTGCAGCCCCTGACAGCCAAAGCCAGCCCTGGGATTTCCTGCAGTGCTGGAACAGCGGGTGCCCCGTCTCCAACAGGTCCTCTCCCTCACCCCTGCTGCCCACCCTGCAGCCACAGAAGGGAGCAGCTGCCCACCAGGCCTCTGTGAGAGGGATTTCAGTCCCCTTGCTGAGGAGGGCAAGGCTTGGTCCGCCAATGTCAGAGGCTACAATAATTCTCCTCTCTCTTCTGAGAAATCCTCCC